TAGCTTTTCCTGATTTCTTTTACATATAGTTTGTAAAAGGACATTCATATAGGACTCTCCGTTGATGAAATTAAGAACAAAAGTTGTGTAAATCAGTAAAATCTGTCTTGTTTTATTGGTTGCATTCACAACATGGTGTTCCTGACAGTTTATCATTTTAAAAAATCTATTTTAACTGTTCACAGGTCTAACACATAACTTTTTAAAATGAAACATTCTTGATCTGTGTCATTTCCACAACACATAATTTCTGAAGAGTTCACAACAACAACAATACTCTATTGATATTTGTTCTGTAAGTATTCCCACAGTAACACATTATTATTAGCTCTTTTATGGAAATACACTCTTTTTGGTGGCGTTTTTCACAGATGAATTTGTTTTATGGACAGACAGACCCCTAGTGAATTCTGCCTAGAGCTGGTTGTGCTGCAGTGATCTCCAATTTCACAGAGTATGGCATTTTGCAAGGAAAAAAATTATAATTGACTTATCCTACATGTCTAACAGAAACATTCATGCCTCTCTACAGAAGACGTATATACTGCTTCCTCACTTAAAATTTCCAAGTGAGCCAGTCCTATTTGTGATCAGCCATATTTTTAGTTTTCATTATTAAATGTTTATTTCTTACTACAGAACCTGTAAAATCTGGAAACATTTTCATGTCCTGTTTTTTCCTACAGGCTCTCTACATGCAGAGTTAAATATTTTCATTTAGGGCCTTTTTTTTGGTACTGTAGGTATAAGAAAATAAATGTCGTTTCACAGTTCAAGTGATTTATGCATGGCTAAGTATTTTATTTGCTACTATTAAGATAATTCTTGCTCCTTCTCTGGATTATGTAAGCTTATCCACAAGTCCACTTGTCATATAATTTTCTCTGCTGGAATGAAATCATTGCCTACCTTCTTCAAATAATAGATAATTAAAGAGGGAGATATGTTTTTTTTTCCCCTAGCCATAAATCAAAATATCTTCCTGAAGGTTAAATTAGTTCACCTCCAGATATTACTAGGAATGTTTACCACCTAGCAGTCTGATCCTCAGAAATAAGTCATACTTTATAGGATCTAACTAGTGAGAAAACATTTACAAAATTTGCTCATTTCTTTTGAGTCCCATCTTTATATTAAATACACCATGTAGGAGAAGAGAGCGAAATTCTCTCTCTTCTCTGAGATGATTTTACCTGGTACTTCTCAGCCCAGCTCTGATATTTAGGCTTGCATATGAACAAACAAGAAGCAGGCTCAGTTTTTGTCAGCGGACAAAAACTCTTCACAGTTCTAGCCAGTCAGTCGTGCTCCATTCTGAGATCCTGTTTCATTCTGGGTCCCACCCACTTCAGCACTTTTTTTATTCTTTTCCACCACAGGCATTCAGTACTCGATGGCTATCAAGCATGCAATGTTTCATTTGGCTGCATCAGAAGGGCCGTTCCTTTAGGTTTCGGCAGGAACAGAGAGGTTGTTTTATTTCTGAACATCATGGGTTTTCCTGACATGTTCACACTTACCATTTGTTTCTTCCTGGCCTCCTATTACTACATATATGTCAGAATTCAGTGGCTGAACATGCTAATAGAGGGAGTGATGTGGTAGTTCATGCTAAGACAAGTCAGATATGTCATGTTTGTTTTCAATTTATCTCTTTTCCCTCATGTGCTGTTGAAAACAAACACAACTAACTGTAGCTGATTGTCTTGCATTCCAATGCACCTCCTACGTGATTTGCTTCCCTTATCTGAAACAAGCCTTACTGTTGTAGCACTGAGAGTCATACAAGTCTAATTTTCAAGCTCAAGTCTCTTCTTAAAAATCCAATGTTTTTAATGGATTAGTCCAGGAAAAAGAAGAATATAATCTATGAATAACTCCAGATTATAGCATGTCCCAAAGAGAGAGCCAGATAATAACCATCACATTCAGGGTAAGGGACATTTTTACAAAGACATGATGGATCAATCATGATGACTATGACACATGCTTCTGGAGAAAGTGAACTGCTAAAACTATAATATCAGTCTGTTTGATGCAATGGAAAACTACCATGACAGGTTGTTTTCCAGTAAGTGATAATGTTGCTTTCCAAAAACATATCCGATCTTGCTTTCACATCTTCACAAACTATCTGAAGAATGCTAAGGTATCCCATGAATTGTATACTCCAAATGTGAAAAATCACAATTGTTTTAGCACTAGACTGGCAGCCACTGCTATAATCACTCAAAATTTATTTTTTAAAACAGTTAGCTGAATCAGTAGTCAGTCCTCATTCCTCAGGTGTCCTCAGGTGGTGGATATTAAGATAAAAGAACTGCCAAAATGAAACAGTCCAGCCATACTACTATAGTGCAAATTCTAAAGCACACCACCCAAAGATAACAGTGATTTTGTAATTGAGTATGCCATGAAGATAGGGCTGGAACTGAGAATCAATTTTTAATATCACAACTGTTTATATAATCCTTGATAATTAAATTTAACATCCATGATCATCCAAAATATCCCACTTTTCACTACATGACAAGGAAAGGATGCTGTCTTTGTATGTTGCCCAGAAGCCCTTGGCTATTCAGTGCTGAAACCCCAAAAATGGATGAAGACAACTCTCTGAACTGATCTAGGAGACTTCTGCTTATGTTGGTATAATCCAGATTTGTGCTGAAGAGTAAATACCACGGTATGTACTGAAATCTGTTTGAATGTGTAAATGCTTTGACTTCACTGAAGGCATCTGGAAAAAAGGAATCTGTACACCAGCCTGTTGCAGTAGGATGATTTGTAAACAAGAAGCATGGATAATGACCTGACAAATGCAATTCTGCTAGACACATTTTTTTAAGTTTGCTATATTATTTCAAATGTATTTTTGAGACAGTTTTACAAATGCTGCTCTGGAATCATGAAACTGTACTGAGCTCCCCACTCTTAGCAACACGGCTCATACAGTTCTCTTGGTTACCGAAAAGTGTCTGTAATGCTACAGATATACCATAGGCCAGGCATCACTTGTGTGTAAGCATCAGAACTAACATCAGAAAGCCCAAAAGCTCTATTTCAGGGTGATGCTGTACATTCCAATTCCAATTCTGATAGGCAAATCCTACTCATAGCCAAATTAAGTTATGTTGGTAGCAAAAGCAAGATAATGATTCCTCTACCTCATCACCATTCCAGCTTTAAAATATCAATTTTCCATCTCTCTTGGCAGATCTTGAATGACCAGACAGAGATTTCTAGTAGGAGCAAATTCTATGCAATTGCCAGATTTGTTCCAGTATAGTAGCTCACCGAAGGATGTTTTTGTCTACTTATTGCCCTTTGTTACTGTGCTGGAGCTTGCTGGCTTACAGGAGTAAAAGTGGCCAACAAGAATCAGTTAAATGCAGGACAGATTTTTGGGGGTTTAATAATAACCCTCTTTCCAGGAAAACATGGGGAGCAATTCCCACTCACATTTCAAATAACCCAAAAGAACTTTAGCCAAGAATAAGTCTTTGTACCCTGCTGTTTGTACAGGTTTACTCAGAAGGAACTCCCAGCGTGCTGAACAGTTATGTGGATTCATGCTTGTATACATTTATACATAATTGTTACCCAAAGCAATTATTATTTCCAACATAACCTTCAAAATAAAGCAGAAAAAATATAGCTCAAAATATTGCTTGGTCTACAGCTCTAAGTGTCACTGGAATATACCTATATAGTAAAGTTATGTTATATTGTATTTTATTTGGGCCTCAGCTTCAGATTTTGGGTCTGACCATTTATGAATGCCAGCACAATGCTGAAGAGAAGTCAAAGCACACACATGTAATGGGAATGATCATAATACATTAACTAGGAAAAATAGGAAACCTTTCACTGTGGAGAACCCTACATTTCAACTGAATTAAAACAGAAGCAAAACTCTAGGATCACAGAAACCACAAGGAGATGAACTAAGGTAACAGAAAGATCCCCACATTAACCTCTTCTATCCCCATTGCCAAATCACTCTTAAAGCAACTCTACAGGATCATATTCCTTCCAAGGGAACATACACTTCAAGATGTAAAGCCACACCAGCAGTTAAAAATAATTACACAATTCCGGAGCATGCAATATTTTATCTTTACAGTACTGGGAAAAGACATGTAGAAGCAAGCATGATGGGGATGGGGGGTGGGGGGCAGACAAAACCCCCCTGAAATATAGGAAGACAGATGAGAGATACACCTAGTGTCTCATCCCGTCCCTCCTTCCCATATATTATCCCACTGCCATGCAGCCTAGACATCTTAAAGTCACTGCTTGTTGGAACGTGATTCCTCCTCCCGGGAGCACTCGGACAAACTTGGGAAAAGGTTTAGGTGGGACACACGGTAAGGCCAGCAACAGACCGTCTGCCAGTCAACTCCGGGTTTTTTATCTTAATGGGACGGGTCTTCGCCGTTTGCAGCAGGGCCAAGAGTCTTTCCCCCTCCTCCCCCTTCCCGCATTTTAAGGTAACAGAGCCTTAACTTTTGTTGTGAACCTTCGTTCCTACCTGGGATATTCTGTAATCATCCATTCATCCACGCTGACATTTTAGAAATAGTCATCTCTTCATATGCTCGGTTCGCAGGCTAGGTTAATAAGGGGCATGTGTTGTTACGTACACAGCCCGATTTTATTCCCTGCTCGTTCGCCCCCCACCCCGCCGAAAAGGCCAGCGGTAGGAGGAGAGAAACTTTGGAAAGTTTTGAAAACTCCGGTGCGAGAGACTCACTTTCACTAGGCAATGGCGGAGAAGAAGTAAGGTGGGCAACAAAAGACATATGCCCCCTCCCATCACAATCAGTTTAGAGGCATCTGTTTCCAAAAACTCCTGTTAACCTTTGGCGTACGCGGAGATAAAACTGGGGACCGGCTGACTGACACTTTGCTGAGAAAGAGGCTAGCAGGTCCTCCGACGAGTGGAAAAAAACCCCGCGCGCTCAGACCCAGAACTGAGCTTCAGTTTCTCACCTTACCTGTTTTTGTGGCGGGTCTTCAAGAGATTCCTTCCAAAGGGAGCCATGCTAAGCCCCAAAGGCAGCAAAAGAACATCAAACAAAGTCGGGACCTAGGCTTGGGGGGAGTAGCACAGCCGTCTCCTTATGCGCCTGCTGCTGCTGCTGCTGCTGCTGCCGCCGCCGCCGCTGTCGTTCCAGCTTGTTAATAGTCACCCAGCGTAGAAGTTGTGCAACCCGTTGCTAACTTTGAACTCCTGCCTCTTGTTGTTGCTGCTGCTCTTTTGGAGCCCTGCCCAGTTGCAAGCTGGAAGGAGGCATTTAGGACAGGAGAAGGGAATGAAAGCAAGAACAAAGGGAGGGCGAAGGAAGAAGTGGGTGGGGGGACTTTAATTAGACGTTCTTTCTGACTTCACTAATGAAACACGCAAAGCTCGGCGAAGACCCAGGACTTGGAGTGGGCAGGAGAGAACTTCCCTGGGAATGAACAGCAAGGTCAGGGCAGGCTTAACCAGAGGACAGACCCTACCGCTTACCCCATTCTGAGCCAAGAGCTGACACTGTGCTCACAGCTCAGGTAGCGTTCCTCTTGTCCAGATGAGCTTACCGAAAATCCAAATTGACTAGCAAACTTTTGAGCTTTACAGAACTCTCCATCAGAAACAGAGGAAAAACGGCAAACAGATGGGGGAGGAAAAAAATGTTGCTCAAGTGAAATTGCAGAAGACTCAGATATAATTCATAGAGTGCACTGTTAGTGTACAAGGTATACAAAGGTACATTGTGGTTTAAGTTTACAGACCACAGTGGCTTGCTTCACTGTGGTTTGTTTGGTTAAAGCAAGCCACGTGTATAAACTATGGTTTCTGACCTAGTATGTGTGTGAACACAGCCATTGTGGTATATTTAAAAAAATCTGTGGGGAAGCTAGTCATGGCTTAGCACAGCATATTACCCAATCATATAGTTCCTAGTAAAATAGGGATATATATCCCAAATATATATAGTTGCCCTTACATTAGTAGAATTATGGATGAATTTTAATCCAAAATCAAGTAATATTGCAAAGTATACTTTCCCACTAAACCACATTTCCCCTTTTCATTTCTTGGCAGAATGACAGAGTGGTCTATGAGAAGTTGGGACAGTGACCAGGGAAATATCTTCCCTAGTTCTAGTAATATGATTTGAACTTTTATGTAGCAGCATATTTTTTCCCACCAGCCAGCGAGAGGATATGGGATCACAGGTTTTCCACTGCTAGTCAGTAGAAAAACCATTTCCAGAGACTGTGCAAAAGTGATTGGGCCTTCCTGACAGTTCTGTGGGTCATAATTTTGCAAACAAGGGTTACAAGGCTGCTAGCATGTTATTATTGTATTATTATTTGTGGGTTTTTTCTTGTTGTGTTGGGTTTTTTTTTAATTCTGTGTACACAGGTTCACAATTTGCCAAATGGGCATATGTGTGTGTGTGTGTGTGTGTGTGCATGCATATGCACACGCACACACCTGTGCCTTCAAGTCAGTGTTGACTCTTAGTGACTGCCTGGACAAGTGCCTGCAGTTTTCTTGGCAAGATTTTGGAAGTGGCTTGCCATTGCCTCCTTCTTAGGGTTGAGAGGGAGAGACTGGCCCAAGGTCACCCAGCTGGCTTTGTACCTAAGGTGGGAGTAGAACTCAGGGTCTCCCAGTTTCTAGCCTGGTGCCTTAACCACTACACCAAACTGGCTCTCAGGCAGCCCCAGTTTCTAGCCTGGTGCCTTAACCACTACACCAAACTGGCTCTCAGGCAGCTATATAAGTTGATGTAATAAATAATAAATATATATCGTTGGAAAGTGCACTACAATTTACATGATGAGGCTGATCAACAAGAAAAGAATCAGCAGGCCAGCTGTTTACATCTGATTATCTCTCAAATGCGTAGGTATAGAATGAGGGATACCCAACTTGGTAATGATACTTGTAAAAAAATTTTTGGAGTAACAGTTAATGCAAAGTGAGCCGTCAATGTGATATGGCTGCAAAAAAAGGCAAACAAAATTTTAGGCAGCAACAACAGAGGTATAATTTCTGAGTCACTGGAAGCAGTTGTTCCATTTTAGTCTGCTTTGGTCATCTGAAGTACTGAAAAGCAATCAGGATAATCAGGGGACTAGAAGCTGAATCCTATGAAGAGAGACTGAAGGATATGAACACAATCATGGTGAAGAAAGATACCTGATGGGGTATGATAGGATCCTCTGAACACTCAGAGGAAGGGATTCACTCTTGTTCTGAAGTATTTGGCCCAGAATAATTAATTTAAATTACAGGAAAGTAGATTCCAGCTGAATGTGAAGAATTCTGTAATAGTAGGAACAGCTTGGCAGTGGAAGCATTTACCCAGAGAGGTAGTGGGTTCATTGGATGTGCTCATTCACCTATTCTTGGATGTGCTCACACAGAGGCAAGATGGTCTCCTGTCTAGGATGCTTTAATTTGGATTCCAGGGCTCAGCAGGGCAAGAGACTCAATGACCCAAATGTCCCCTTCCAATTCTGTGACTGAAAGGTTTTTAGCAAAGTGAGAGAGAGAGAGAGAGAGAGAGAGAGAGAGAGAGAGAGAGAGAGAGAGCGCATCCCACAGTAATATAAAGCTTGTATTTTGGAAAATATCTGTGTCTCTTTGAACGCTTACTAATTAAGAGATATACCTCAGGACCCAGTGGACATAGTAGCATCATGGACATTAAACTAAATACACAAGTGTGAATGGGAACATGTACCTGTTGTTTAAGAGGTTATAGTTCATGTAGACCCCCCAGGAAAGGTGTAGAAGAAGTCTTTACTTTGAACGTTAATTATATATATGAGTTCAGGAAACCCAAGTCGTTTACCCTTCCTGTGTTTATTTACACATATTATTACCTTGCAAGCTGCTTTTAGGGCCTAGTCCATTACCAGAATGCCACGAGAGCATAACCCAGGGGGAGTCTTTACCATTCTGCTCCAGCAGTGGGGTATACTTAAAATGGGAGTATATCCGGGCTCCTCAGTAATACCATATTATCTTCCCAAAGTGCTCTGGACATTTCTTTCTTCTTTTTAAAAGGATGTTAACATATTTCCCAGTTTTGGAATATGAACTTCAAATCCAATCCAATCCAATCTTTATTACGGTCAAAGACCAGCATAAGGAGGGTGGGGTACAGTCAATTAAAAAGCATAGAAAATACATCAGAGTTTAAATAATAGTAGTAGTAGTAGTAGTAGTAGTAGTAGTAGTAATAATAAGCTAAAAGATATAAAATAAAAAGTATATATCTAAAAGGAATCCAAAAGGAGGGGTAGGAGCATTAGATGGGTATAGGGGAGCATAAAGGTTAGCATATGGCAGGCTATATTAAATTACATATCACTCTAGTATCACAAACTAGACGCTCATTAAGACTACTTTATGGCACAGGTTATAATCTGACAAATTTTAATCACTGCTGTGCAGAACCTGACATTATATGTTGTAGCAGGGTTGGTATCTGAAGGTTGGTATCTTCTACCCAGAGAGGGGTAGAAGTGTCCTGTGCGCCCTGGATATTTATCCAATAATGGTGAGATGAGTCTGGTATGAGTGTCTCTGTAATACAGGTACTGGAGAAGCGCATGCTCTGTTGTTTCTGTGTATCCAGAATCACAGGGGCATTGTCAGTCTAGGTAAGGAATCTTCCTGTATCAACCTTCAAGGACAGCTGAGGGGAGGGCATGACATCTGGCCAGAGTAAAGGCCCTCCAATGCTTAGGTACTTTGAGTTTAGTTAAGTATGTCATAGGGGAGGCAGAGTACCTGTTGGATTCACTGGCAATGACAGTTGGGGACCTGGCTAGATCCAATTGGCGCTCTGTGTCTGCTACATGCTGTTTGATGAGTGCTTTGGCTTGGTCATATCCCATGCTGAGTAGAAGGCCTGGAGAGAAGCCCAAGGATGAGATTTTAGTTGCTACTGCCTGTTTTCATGTGGACTGAAAATTATCCCTCATAGTTAATGGGGCAAGGCCAAGAGGAAAAAAGGAGAGTCTAAGCAAATAGTTGAGTATGGTCACCCACACTCTAGCCTCCACTTTCATGAGGCCTGTCTCTATTCTCAGGGTGGCATTAGAGACACACTTTGGGACTTGAAGGGCCGATCTTAGAAATTTGGATTGTACAAGTTCTAATGGTGGAAAATTGGAGAAGGGGCCCAGCCGGTCAGCATAAAGAAGTTGTGCTATTGGCTTGGCTTCAGATAATTTGAGTGCTGAAGGAATATAGTGACCACCTCTTGTCTTGAGGAATTTAAGGATGGCAGATGAGCTCCTCTATGCATTTTCAGCAATGTAGTTCTCATGGGGTTTCCTACTGCTCTAAGAATGGAGGAGTACTTCCAGGTATTTGAAACAGGAGACCTGCCTGCTCAATCTTGTGGCCATCTATGCTCCAGAAGTGACTCTTGGGCCTTTTGGCAAATGCCATGATTTTACTTTTCTGATAATTGAGTTCTAACTGGTCTTCCTTGCAATACTGTGTTAGTACCCTCAGTGCTCTTTTAAGGCCAAGAGGTGTTCTTGAAAGTATTGCTGCATCGTCTGCATAGAGTAGACAGAGATGCGTCTTCCAGAGAACTTCAACTTATAGTTCTTCTGCTGCTGTTTTGGCATGCCAATTACCGGGAAGACTGAAGACCTTGCAGAGAGACCAGTCCCAGTTCTCTTTATATCACATGATTTTTTGATCAATTGGCAGCAGGATGGGGCATCTAGAGCTCCAGCTGAGTAGATAGAAAGTTTGCATTCCTCACTGGAGACAGCAGAAGAGTGTCATGGGACTTCTTTCCATCGCCTTCTGATGGATGCAGGGATTTCTCCAGTGAGAGAACTGGGAATAAAAAAAGTTTATATTTTCCCCCCTTCAGTTAACTAGGCATTTTGCTAAGCATAATTCTTCTGTCAGTCATCAGGAGCTTGGTATCATAATTCTTCCTGAAAAATTGTGTCTTATAATGGTCAGGTTAGGATTTTCTTCATTCTGGTAGCCCAGTTGTGGAAAACTTCTTTGGGGAAGTTTGGCAAGATTTTTTCATCTGTGAAAATCTTATGAGAAGATTTAAAAAAAAAAAACAGGGCAAAGAACTGTGAAGTACAGCAGAAAGGGAGAGGAAGAGGGAAGAATCCTCTATTTTCTGAAGTGGTGAAAGTGTAGAATAAGTTCATAATGCCT